AGGGAGAAGCAGGCTTCCTGCTGAACAGGGAGCCCGATGCGGGGCTCGATCCTAGGACCCTAGGATCATGACCTGAGCCGAAGGCAGACACTTAATGACTAAGCCACGCAGGTGCCCCAACCTTAAACCTTTTAAAGACTACAGGCCAGTTATTTGTAGGCTGTCCCTCAGTTTGCATATATCTGAGGTTTCCTCACATTTCCATTCATATCATGCATCTTGGACAGGAGTCTCCCAGAATTGATGCTGTGTCCTTCTAATCACATTCTAGTAAGTGAATCATGATTTTGATTTGTTCCATTATTGGTGATATTAACACTGATCACTTGATTAGGGTTCTCCCCCCACCCCTCCACCTGCTCAAGGATATCTGTTTTTAGCATTGTCCACAACATCATGCTGAAGATCCCAGCCAAAGAAACAAGGCAAAAAATAAAGAACTAGTATAAGAATTGGAAAGAAAGAAATAAAACTGTCATTATTCTCAGCATGGTTATGTACATAGAAAACCCAAAAGAATGGTTATGAACTATTAGAATTCTAAGAAGTGAATTTGGCAAGACTGCTGCATACAATGCTAGTATTAATTGTATTTCAACTAGAAATTGTTGAAATTGTATTTCAACTATACTTCAATGTAGCAGAAACTAATAATTAGAACATAGGATTTTTTTTTAGCTTTTGATGCTTTTTTAGATTTTGATGTTTACAACAGTAGCAAAAACTATCATATACCTAGAATGGGTCTAGTGAAAGATGTATAAGACCTCTACACAAAAAACTATAAAACACCAAAGAAATTAAATACAGTCTAAATAAATATAAGGTTACACCATGTTCATGGATTGGAATACTCAATATTATAAACACATGGATTCTCCAAACTTATCTACAAATCCAGTACAATATAAATCAAAGCATGTGTTCTTTCTTAGATGCAAAATGGACCTAAGATTTATACTAAAATGCAAAGAACAAGAATAACCAAGACAATCTTGAAAAAAAACTGTGAGCCCTTTTTTAAGGCTAATGTCAAGTTTGGTTTTTTTTAATTTTTTTAAAGATTTTATTTATTTGACAGAGAGAGACACAGCGAGAGAGGGAACACAAGCAGGGAGAGTGGGAGGAGGAGAAGCAGGCTTCCCGCGGAGCGGGGAGCCCAATGCGGGGCTCTATCCCAGGACCCTGGGATCATGACCTGAGCCGAAGGCAGACGCTTAACGACTGAGCCACCCAGGTGCCCCTAACGTCAAGTTTTTAAATGACATTATGATATTATGCAAGAATAGGCAACTAAACCCATGGAACAGAATAGCTAGTCCAGAAGCAGAGCTTCACATATTTGGACACTTATTTTATGAAAAAGGTGGCACTGCAGAGCAGTGGAGAAAGGATGGTCTTTTCCATAAATGATAAACTGGGTCAAATGAATATCCATATGGGGAAAAAATATATTCTTAATCCCTATCTCAGACCATACACAAAAATCTATTCCAGACAGATTGCAAATCTAAATGTGAAAGGTAAAGTAACAAAACTTTAATTTTTAAAATTTTTTTTTAAGATTTTTTATTTTTTATTTGATAGAGAGAGATAGCGAGAGCAGGAACACAAGCAGGGGGAGTGGGAGAGGGAGAGGTAGGCTTCCCACCGAGCAGGGAGCCCGATGCGGGGCTCGATCCCAGGACTCTGGGATCATGACCCGAGCTGAAGTCAGACACCTAACGACTGAGCCACCCAGGTGCCCCAAAACAACAAAACTTTTAGAAGAAAATATTCATGATTTGGGGGTGGGCAAATTTCTTAAAAGGACTTAAAAGAGCAGTAACCACATAGAGAAAGGTTCATAAATTACACTATATTAAAATTAAGACCTTCTGTTCACCAAAAGACACCATTATGAGGATGAAAAGGCAATCCACAGAGAGAGGGAACATATTCACTATACATATCTCACAAGAACTCATATCCAAAAAAAATAAAAATCTACAGATCAGTAAAAAAAGAACAGCCCAATAGAAAAATGTGCAAAACACCTAAACAGACATTTCACAAAAGCAATGATCCAATGGACAATAAAGATATTTTTTAAAGTTCTCAACTGTGTTAGTACTTAGGAAAATACAATTAAAGCCACAGTGCAATACCACTACTGACCCAACAGAATGGCTAAAATTAAAAAGACAAACAATACCAAACGTTAATCAGGAATGTAAATTGGTACAACCACTTTGCAAAACTAGTAGAACCTACTTAAGCTGAATGTAAGTTAACCCTATGACCCAGCAATTCCATTTCCATGTATATATTAGCATATGTGTTCACTTAAAGATATGTATTATAATGATAATAGGTGCACCACTTATAATAGCTCAAACTGGAAATTACCCAAATGTTCATCAACAGCAGAATGGATAAACTGGAATATTCACACAACGAAATACTATATAACAATGATCGTAGGTTAACTACATCTGTACGCAAATACAATGTTAAGCAAGAGACACATAGGTACAATTTTATCTGCATGAATATAAAATTAAGCAAAACCAATCTATGCAAGATGTGGTTACTATTGGGGCAAGCATGTGACTGAAAGGACAAGAAGGGGGCTTCTAGAATGTGGCAATGTCCTGTTCTTGACCCGGATGTCAGTTACTTGGGTGTGCTTGGGTTGCATTCTGCTGTAGGGACTATATCATAATTCAATAAAAAGTTCAAAAAGAATCGATTCCAGGGGGACTGTAGAGCTGCGTGTGAAAAGAAAAATGATTAAGCCGCTAGTAGACAGCAACAACAAAATGTTTGGGGGCACACAACCCTCTAATCAGAAAGGAAAAGATGAATTGAATTACATAAAAATTAGAAACTTCTAGTCATCAAACAATACCACGAGTGGAAAGGCCAATAAGCAGAAAAACTTTTCCTGTCCCAGACCTACATGACCACAGTGAAATCGCCCCCCCCCCCCGCAAAGAGGACAAAAGACAGTCAATAGGTAGGGCTACCTGAGCTAAGTTCTTCCTCTGATGACTCCTCTTGAATTGGACCTTGTGAAAGCTTGTTCCCGTTGCAAAATGAGTGAGGAGGCCACCTTCGTAGCCCTTTGATTTGAATTGCAGTCCAGATTGACTTGGTGATTTGGGGGATAGGATGTTATCCTAAACAGAACAAAATGGATTACAATTTGTGTTTTGCAGCATTGGTGACTTGTACGAGGACAAGTCTGTGAATTCTTTTGTATTTAAGCAGTTTTAACCAAAAAAAAAAAAAAAGTGCAAAGGCAAGCCACAGAGTGTGCTCACATCCAGAATATATAAAGCAATCCCGTAAGTCAATAAGAAAAAGGCAGACAATCCAGTAGGGGGAAAAAAAATGGACCAGAGACTTGAATGAGCACTTGGCAAAAGATACCCGAATAGACAACATACAAGAGAAGGTCCTCAACCTCATTACTTATTAGAGAAAAGCTAATCAACAATAGTGCAATACCACTACACAGCCACCAGAATGTCCACAATTATTTTTTATATGATTATTATTATCATTAATTGAGAGAGAGAGAGAGAGAGTGCACGCACGTGCACATGCAGGAGCAGAGGGAGAGAGAGATAATCCCAAGCTGGCTCCATGCAGAGCCCACTACCTGGAGATCATGACCTGAGCAGAAATCAGAGTCCCATGCTTAACTGACTGAGCCACCCAGGCTCCCCTGAATCACCACAATTATACTGACAATACCAATGAGGCTGAGGTTGAAAGCATGGAAACCCTTACGCACAGCTACAGTATGTACATTATTTCAGCCTCTTGGCCTGTTAGGCATTTTTACCATACCCTATGTCCCAGAAGTTCTACTTCTGGAGAAACTCAGGCACGTGTGCATTGGATCCATGTACAAGAAAGTGCATAGCAGCATTATTTAGAATAGCCCCAAAAGGAAACAATCCTAATGTCCATCAACAGCAGAATGGCTAAGTTATGGTATAAGATATACAACGGAATTCTATACAGCCGCGAAAGTAAACAAACCATTGCTGCACGCAAACAGGATGGTTCCAGTCATAATACAAAACCAAAGAAACCGGGCAGGCAAGCACACTGCATGATGCTCTTTGTATCAAAAGCAAGCAAAAGTTGGGGAGCCTGGGTGGCTCAGTCGCCTAAGGATCCGCCTTCCACTGGGGTCATGATTCCAGGGTCCTGGGATCCAGCCCATGTTGGGCTTCCTACTCGGCAGGAGTCGGCTTCTCCCTCTCTCTCTGCCCCTAACCCCACCCCCCTTGTGCTTTCTCGCTCTCAAATAAATAAGTAAAATCTTAAAACAAAAACAAAAACAAGCAAAACTAATCTATGGTGTTCGATTCCTCGTTGCCTTGGGAAGGGAGGGAGGCTTTCAGAAAAGTGTTCATTTTCTTTTTTCTCTTTTTTTTTTGAAAAGTGTTCATTTTCTGGACCGGGAGGCAGCAACGCAGGTGTTCTCACTCTGTAGCTATTAGTCACGTTGCAAATTCCTGGTCTGCGCACTTTTCCGTATATCATGCTTCCATTAAATATTTAAATGTCTGGAGATCACTGGCCTAACAGAAAACTGAACCTGGCGCAAAGCCGGGTCTGGCGCGCGGGGCGGTAGGACGATCCCAGTGAAGTGGCCCTGTGATTGACCTTGCCCTGGTTCTCACGTGGTAGCCCGGGGGACCAAAGCACCCGCCCGGAATGAGAACCTGAAGTCCTGGACCCTTCACTGGATCCCACGGGTGCCCGCCCCTCCTGGGTGGAGTGAGGACAGACACCGCGTCTCCTCCCACCTCAAGCTGCAACGATGCATGGAGACAGTTCCACTCGGGTGCCTTCACATTTTGCTTAACTTGCGGACACAAACATCTGGAATCAGGGGCCCTCCTCCAGATACGCCCCAAGGAAGATCCCAGAGCCTGAGACAAGCTCAGCGCTCGCCCGAACCTCCGAAGAGAACGAGGTCGGGGGCGTGGCTCTTCGATTGCTTCGGCCTGGATGTGGAGCTGCACGCGCATGCGCCGGCTGCGATTGGTGTTGCCTGGCGGCGGGGCGCGGGGGACGCCGGGAAGTCTGGCGGGCGGGAGGCGGCGGGAACAGCCGGCGGGCCGTGGCACCGGCAGCGGGAGGCGGCAGGATGGTGAAACTGACGGCAGAGTTGATCGAGCAGGCGGCTCAGTACACCAACGCCGTGCGGGACCGCGAGCTGGACCTCCGGGGTAAGTCTAGGGGGTGGGCGGGCCTCCGCGCGCAGCCCGGTGGTTCGCACCCCGCCGCGTGCGCCGAAGGCCGGCGCTTGGCCAGCAGGCCTGCACTGTGGGCGCCAAGCCGGGCGGTGCCAGCACCGCCCGGGGCTGAGTCTGACCGTTGCTGCCCCAAAACCATCCCTAGGCCCTTCTGAGGCTTCAGTTACCCCCGCTTGTGCTCACTCGCCCAGCCGATTGATTGATCGCTTCCTGATCCGCACCCGTGGGCCTCAGCTAGGCCTCGCTTGGCGTATTTCACAGACTGAACTGTTTGAGAGCTGGGAAAATGTTAATAGCTGTAATCCTAGTGCTCAGCGGCTCGTTGGTTCTCAGTAAATACGTTGAACTGTTAATGTGGGAGTATAGATAGGATACGTGTTAATTACCTATAATTTGCGAGGGAGGAAATGAAGTCTGAGAACAAAAGCGATTGTTTCCGCAAGATTTCTTTGTTATTAGCGTCAGTTGTCTTATATGTCCCTTTCATCAAAACATTTTAGGGGCATCTGGGTGGTTCAGTCGTTTAAGCGTCTGCCTTCCGCTTAGGTCGTGATCCCGGGGTCCTGGGATTGAGCCCCAAATCGGGCTCCCTTCTCAGCGGGGAGTCTGCTTCTCGCGCTCTCTTTCTCCGTGCCGCTCCCCCTGCTTGTGCGCGCGCTCTCTCTCTCTCTTAAATAAATCTTTAAAAAAAATTTTTTTAAGGAGGCTTGCACTACGAGTGCCCTGTGTAAGGTGGTGGAAGCTTTGAACTATTCAAATTCATGTAGCCGTTTAAACCTTAGGCTTGCGGAGAAATTGGGAGTGCAGCTGTCTAATCAGCATTTCAAGGAAATGACTTTAGGAAGGATGTGAAGAGCAGTTTCTCTGGGAATAAGACGATACAATTTAGGCCTGAGATTTGGTTCCACAGGGACAACATCGGCTGAGGTGCAGCACTGCTTCGGGCTCTGCTTTCGGTTTGGATTCCTTGCTGACAAAGCCCAGTGCTTTTATTTTATTTATTTATTTATTTTTAGAATTTCTTTCTTTCCTTTCTTTTTAGGTTTTATTTATTTATTTGACAGAGAGAGATAGCGAGAGCAGGAACACAAGCGGGGAGTGGGAGAGGGAGAAGCAGGCTTCCCGCCAAGCAGGGAGCCCGATTTGGGGCTCGATCCCAGGACTCTGGGACCATGACCTGAGCCGAAGGCAGACGCTTAACGACTGAGCGCCACCGAGGCGCCCCAAGCCCAGTGCTTTTATTTTGTTGAAATTAAGTTTAGAGAAAAGTTCGATTCCAGAAGTAACTGACCACCTTCGCTCTCGGCACAGATTGATCTTTGCTGTCTCTGAAGTGCATTGAGTGTTGAGGATACTTGTTTTGGTGTAACCCTTGCAGCTCTGAATTATGTACTTTAATTGTGGCTTGGGTTCATTTCTTTCTTCTGCCAGCACCTAGAACAGTAGTTAGGCCCATTTTAACAAATCCGTGAGTATTTGAGTGAATTGTTCACAGGGTGGTTTATTATTGTGTATAAACCATTGACCTTGAAGTCTGAATTGGATCTGGGGGAGGTGTAGAGGATATCCTGATAAGTTCTATGAATCTGGCCTGTGGGAATGCAAGAGGTTAAGAACTGTCTTCCACGATGTATGAACAAGACTTGGACACTGACAATAAGCAGCTTACAATGTAAATTCTCATGCCATTTAACTATTTCTGGGGCTTTGGTTAGAACAGTGTGAGGGACCCTGTAAATATTCTTGCAAATGTTAGCTACCCATATTACTATTACTAAGTGCCCTCATTACCATAGCCCTTGCCCTTGTTGTCTTGACCATCTTCATGTCCACTCCCTAGACTGTAAGCTTCGTGGCAGCTAGGACATGTGACTCTTGTTCCTCATGTTGTGTACCAGTTACTTGCACAGTGTCTGGCACAGTGTAGGTGTTAGGTAAACACTTTCTGAATAAATGGAAGCTTTGAATCCAATTACTATGAAGTACTGCTACGGTTTTAATGCACCTTTTGACCATATTAATACTTGTGTATTTTTTTTCTTCTATTTTACAGGGTATAAAATTCCTGTCATTGAAAATCTAGGTGCTACCTTAGACCAGTTTGATGCTATTGATTTTTCTGACAATGAAATCAGGAAACTGGATGGTTTTCCTTTGTTGAGAAGACTGAAAACATTATTAGTGAATAACAATAGAATATGGTAAGTGTCTGTTAGTGGAAAGTAATTTTTTTCCCCTAGAGGAATGTTGCAGTGTTCCCTGATGAAGCCATAGTACTTAACTGCCAGTTGAGCCTACATATTTCTTAAAATGAGAAACAAGCTGCACTTTTCCCATATAGGTCCAGAGATTAACTTGGTATTGGTCTCATTTTATTTGCATCTGTTCAGAAATACTTATATATTCATGGTAATAGATATTTAAATTACAAACATGCTGTTTTGTACATATTTTGGCTTCTAAAACAATAATTGTAATTATCAGAGGGATTATATTAAATAGATAGGTAAAGTTCAACAATTATTTATATATATGTATGTGTGCGTGTGTATATATGTTTGAAGATTTATTTATTTATCTGAGAGAGAGAGAGAAAGTGCATACCTGAACATGAGAGCAGGGGGAGGGACAAAGGGAGAGGGAGAAAAATCCTCCAGCAAACTCCCCACTGAGTGTGAAGCCCCATGCGGGGCTCTGTTCCTGAGATCATGACCTGAGCCAAAATCAAGAGTCAGACGCGTAACTGACTGAGCCACCCAGGTGCCCCCAACAATTATATTTTTGACTGAGTGTCTCTACCTCATATCCTCTGCCATTTGTTTTTCTTTACAACTGAGTTTTAGAATATTACTTACTGAAATTGAGGGTTTTCTTTAACCCTTTTTCATCACCTCTGAGTAAATCTTATCAAAAAAAGTTATTGAAGGGGCGCCTGGGTGGCTCAGTCGTTGAGTGTCTGCCTTCGGCTCAGGTCGTGATCCCAGGGTCCC